CTCTAGAGTCTTAGTTTGTTGCCTTAACCACTACACCACACTGCTTCTCACCTTGAGTTTCTGGAAGGGAAGGTATGGATAGAAATCAACAGTCAAAAAAATAAACAAAATAAATAAAGGAAAGTTTAGAAAACAGAATTACTCCAGTACTACAGACCTTTTTCAACCAATATATTTGATTAAAAGGCTTAAGCTTTCATGAGCTGTTAAGTGAGTCTTCTCCTCCTTCCCTCCATTGCAACTTATGCCTTTTAATAAAATGTGTTAGTTAGAAAAGGTGCTACCAGATTCCTTCTGATTTTTTGCCACCAGACCTGGTGCTCTGCTTACATTTGACACAGAAACTCTGACTACTTCAATCTGAACTCATGGCCCTTCAGAGGGGTGGAGAAGCACCCTTATATTAATATTTACAGTTGCTTTACATGCTCTTGATAAGGAGGAGAGGTTTTGGAACACAGCCCTGCTCAAGGCCTAGCTCAAATTAGGCCTACTTTGGGAGATACAGCTCCCTGCCAGGGATGGAAATTGATTGAATTCCACTTAGAAGTTACTGCCAAGAAATTAACAGAAAAATGCTGTTGAGAGGGAAGGCAAGGATTCAGCTGCTTTGCATTTACAGTACTTAAATCCATTTACTATTATTTTCATTTTAATTTCTTCCCAACACTTTGCAGAAAATGAACCAGCATCTCTTTCAACTTTTCCTACCAGTATTTGTGCTCCATGCAAATTGAAACTGATAAATGATTTTTGCCATAATAGTTGCTGACATAGGAGGAGGGCGGGGGGAGTCATAATAGTGCTTGATCTCCACTTTACCTAGAAATCATAGTTTTACTTCTGGAAAACCATTCACAAAATGAATGCTTAGTATGGATTTTGTTCATCTGTCACACCTGAGCAGTTTAACATCTATCATCTTCCTGCATTTAACACAGCACAGTTAAAGCTACAGCTACATCACACTAGATTAAGATTTCCTTTGACTGGTTTGCTGAGCAACAAACCATGAATTGCAAGCCACAAAGGAGCCTGGACAATCCATGAAACCAAAATCAAAATAAAATAAATCACAGGATGGCTTAGCGAGATGCCTATAGCTATCTAGGCCACATTTCAATTTTCCACAAACAGATGAAGTGAGCAGAAACATCCTGAATCCTCTCTCACATAAGCAGGATCCATAGCAGGGGAAGGAAATAATTCACTCAGCTCTGATTAAGATACCACTGAAAATGGGAGATTGCCCAGTGCAGTTTTCAAGCAATATTCTCCTGCCTGTTGTTCTTCACAGGTTCCAAGGCTTTTTGCTTCAGAATTACCTCTTATGGAGGGAGGGAGAAATGTAACATGAACATGAAAAGACATAAACTCACAAAAAAGTATCTTGGAACTCGGTTTGCTCTTTAGAGATTTATTAAAATGGCAGTGATGCAATAAGGATAGAACGAGCAACATCAGAAAACAAGACTACTAATTAAACACACAAATGTATGTCTTTTCACATTCATGTTACACTTAAATGCAAGTATACGAGTTGTGCAATTATGAAAAACTAGGTATATTAGGAATATATCACTGAGGAAAATGTTCTGATGAAAAAAGAAACAAACTTCTTATAGTTAGTGAGATACGTGGAGGTTGATTCAACTTTAACAACATCATGCCTCCTTTCTCTTAGTCTTGTCATTTCCTGCATTTTTTTTTAAACAATGGTTTCTCCTTGTGAGGGTTCTTTGCTTTCCCAGGACTGGACACACCACAGTGTAGCAGTTCTGCACACAATGCTTTATTGCAGCACACAACAACAAGCTATCGCTATGAGTTAACTCCACCTTTCTAGGCCTTGCAAGTTGATGTTGCCACATAAATACATCTTTAATACTCAGTCCAAACAAAAGTCTCAAAGTCTGTGAAGTGCCGCCTTCCAAAAGTTCTTGCACTAGTTGGGATGAGATGCTGCCTCAGTGTGGTTACTCCTTTTCTGGTTGCTGCCGAGCTCCAGGCCAAGCTCCAAGCTCTGCTCTTAAGCAGTGTGGCTTTTGAGCATTCCAGCTGAGCTCCCAAGCCAAACTCCAGGCAGGAATCCTTACCGCAGCTTGTGGTCCTGGCAGTTGACTGATAGCTCTCTTGCCTGCCTTAATAGTAGTCAATCTCCAAACTTCTGCTTCCCCATCTGCTTGCTGTTTCCTTATCTCCTTTTCTCCTACACACTCCCAGGCACTCTGTCTTAATGTTTGCTTTTGTAAGCTAAGGGCCTGGGTGGGGTGAGGCTGCCTCTGGACATCAGCACGTCCTTGAAAATGCCAGGACGTGGCTCAATTGGCATGGATGCTTGTAAGTAAACTTGTGAATGAATGAATGAATGAATGAATGAATGAATGAATGAATGAATGCATGCATGCATGCATGCATGCGCCCATCTCTCAGGTTTCTGGGGCTGTAAACAGGGAGAAAAGCTGATTTATTCAGATGTCCAATGGTGCTAGTGCAGTGCTGAAGCACAAGGTCCTACGTGGGCAATGTCTTGGCAAAATCAGGGACAACAGCACAATAGATCCATTAACCAGACACCCATGTTCTATCAAGGAGCTGGTGTCTCCCATTCCAAATGACAGCATGACACACAACTAAAAGATCAATTCATGTTCTTTCCCCACAAAAAGCAAGAAGAAAATAGAAAAGGCAATGGAGAATGAAAACCAATGAACACTAAATTGTTTTTCTTTCCCTACGAAGCCTGCAAAATACCCTTATCCATAAACCAGTGCAGAAGCATAGGATATATTCAGCCAATCATGACAACAGCAAGAGATTCTAGGAAACTGGTCTTCAACTGATGAATCAGGATCACAACTACATTAAGCCTGATCTAAGGTGGGTTATAATAGCAGTACTATCATGTCAATAAACAGAGATACACACACACATTTCATACAATTATATGGTAAATAAATCTCACATCTAAAATGTAAGATAATGGTAATAAGTTTCAGGAGAAAGAGCAAGCATTGTTTACTTAATGTGACATTAAAGAAAGTGAATTGTTTTACAGTACTCTGGCTCTTACAATGACAGGTATGCAAGTATGGGCGGTTTGATTAGGAGCTTACTTAATTTTCATATGCCAGGCTGGTATGGCATAATTTCCCTTCAATATTTTTCTCTCCCATCTATGAAACGAAATGACAGATGCTAAGCTCTGCCAGTATTATCCTACATTTCCCACAAGTAAGTACAAAAAGATGATCCTCTGGAGTGAGTAGCACTGAATTTTTACCATCAAGTAGTGGCTAAATGTCCAGTAAATGACACTACAGTGCAAGGATTTTAGTGCAAGTTACACTTCCTTTAACAGATAAGGGTGGCTCTATTCAATAAAAAGTCCATGAAGTACATTCCTAATTGTTCTTCTAAAAATTATCCTACAGATAGAAAGAGCCCTTGGTAATGACATCTTTAAATATTGCCTCTCCTTATATACTACAGACAGCAGTATGGATTTTCTGGAAACTGTTGAAATGAGTATGATTCCAATTAGCATTTTCATCTCAATATCCATTGTCCACACAAGCTATATTACTTGATATTAAAACAATTAGGCTGAGCCTGTTTTATGAAGTTTGAATAGTACTTTTAAATAAACTAAATGCTTTGATGTGAAAATACTGGAAAAGAGATTTTTCTCATCATACACAAATTTGAAAAATCCATTTTTTTTATAGTGAGTATATATCCTTGCTACCAGAATTTTTTTCACACTTGTTTCCTTAGTCCAGTATAGAGTGAAGAACATATATTAGAAGTTATATACACAGTCTCTAGATTTTGTATGTCATTTTATGACATACAGCAACAACCTACAATATAACCAGGCTGGCCACATGAATTTGACAATACAGCACTATTAAAGTCAACAGCATTAATTCTATAATTAGTTCATGGGGAGGCTTCATTATATGTGGAACATATAAATAACTCACAATTCTGTTCAAATATCTATTCTGTATAGAATCCAATTTGATTAATACATCTTCATTTACTTGTTTCAGGTTATATATTTTGCATGTGTGTGTGCACGCCTTGTTTTAAATTGTAAGCTGACACATTTTTAACAGATACAGCCATTTGAGCATCCAGGTACCTCAATATTTTTTGTGGGTTAGCATTACAATACCTCAGTGAGATAGGCAATGGTGGAAAGTGGGCAGGGCTGACCCTTCCCCGGATTTTCGTTTTAGTTTCTTAAATCTATGTTCTTTCGGGGGGGGGGGGTTAGATTGGTGTGCATTTGTAGGACAAAGTGGTTGGGAGACTGCATGCTGTTCTGGGGGCTCAGATACCCATCCATACTCTCCGCTTGCTATTTCCTCTATTAGAAGCAAAGGTGAAGTTTTTTTTTAGTAGCCTTGCAACTCTGTAACCTCCGTGTTTAAGAATCACGTGAGAAAATTAGCGGGATATCATTACTTTATCCCAACTAATAAAACCGTTTAAAAGAAGCTCAGCGGGAGAGATAAACTGCTGTCCGTAATTCATCCTTAGTCCTTTTATACACCCAAAAGTGGGAGGGGGCGAGTGTGCACATATTGTTCCCCCCCCTCCCCTTTTTAAATGCATTAAGTATAGCTTGCATCTACGTTGCAGCATGAAGAAATAAAACTATCCCAGTTCACCAATCTTTTGACAAAGACCGTAGAAAGGAGGAGAAAACCAACTCCGACGATGGAACGCTCACCTTTTTAATTGACTTCCAATTGTTGCATGCACTCAAGGTAATCCTTCTAGGCCCCGGATGGAATGAAGCCAGGTGACTGAATTACAGGAGCCTGCTTAGAGCCTCTCCCTCGCTCTCGGATAGGCTCGCCTATCCAGCGCAATGCATTCACGGGATTCGTAGTCGTCTAAAACCGTTGTTTGGCCGATTCAGTACGAAGGACAGCACTCAATCTCCCAAGCAGCTTTTCGCGACCACTTCCTCGAGGCGGACTGAGCATGCGCAAGTCACTGTGTCTGTTTTCGTAACGAGCGGCTGCGGTGCCTCAATGGGGGTTCGCGATCATTTTCGGGTTCGGTTGTTTGCAGGACTCGGAGGGGCTGGTTTGTTCCTGTTGCTGATGGTCCTATATAGGGTCGGGTCTGAGTTGGAGGTGGGTTGCCAAACCTGATAATAACAACGTTTCAACTGTGTTCAAAAGGCTTTGTCACTTGTAGAAATGCATTCCCCCCCCCCATTTTTAGACCGTATTCACCTCTTTATTCGCTCAGAGGTAGATTCGGTTGTAAGTAATGCTACCAGATTTTTATATCCCAGATCTGATCATTCTGAGTGTGGGCCTGTGATTGCCCTGAGCGGGTTTTGAGCAAATACTCAAAAACGATTGTCTTATCCCTTGACAAACTTAAATTATTAATTGATTAAGGCTTCTTGAATAAGGTGAGAGCTGTGGTAAAATAATGTTGGGTATTGAGACCAATCAACCAAAAAATCAAATTTACTGTTACCCTTTTTGAAGATGTGTTGGACTGCAGTTGCCATCACTCCCAGCCAGCATGATCAGTGTGGATTAATATTGTGTCATGAAATAACAAAAACAAAAAATTATATTGTTTAGTTCATTGTGAAATACATCTGTCTGTGAGAAATGGAGCAGGGCCAAATGTGACAGTGTTTTCTTTGGACATACTTTAGACATTAATTTCTATATTTAAAAGAAAAAAATATTAGCAAACCTAAGCAAAGTTATGAAATGCAGGTGATAGCTGAAATTAGAAAAAAAAAGTCTTTAAAAAGAAACCCATCAGTTCAATAGATTTGTTGATTGAAAAGTGTCATGGAGTGTCAGCTGAAAATAAAACCAAAAAAGGAAATGAGAGAGTCAGGGAAGTGTGGGAATTGACTGACTCAGGCTCTGGACAGCTTAAAATAAATATTCTTAATGCTGGGGGAAAAGAAGCAGTTGGGAGGTTGGATTGGGCCAAGTAATGCAAAGTTAATAACTTCTTTCTTTATATTAGATTTCAGGAGAAGAGAAAAGCTTATGTCATCTCCACATGCCCCCCTGCCCAAATTATAGAAATATAAAATATTCAGGTTTGAGGCTGGCAACCCTCTGAACAGTATAAGACACTTGGAAAGGCTTGGTGTGAGGAGAAAAAAAATTATTGGCATTTACTCATTTCTGACAGCTTTATAAGGCTCTTCTGAGGCTCTTGATGCCATTTAGAGTGGTACCCTTGTGGGTTTCCTGTCTCAGCTGCTATGCTTATCCTTAAATGGTTTTACTTTACTTTTCTCAAGGTAGTTACAGCATTCCATTTTATTGCAAGTATTACTCCTTTAGCTACATTAAGCTTCAGAGTCTAAGGAACTGCAATGCAGTGGCATCAGCTTCTCTTTTTCCATTCAGGTTGAAGCTATGGAAAATTTGAAGCAGTGTCTGACATTTAGTAATGAATGCAGTGAGAGCTGTACACTGAAATCTAATCCAAAGAAAATGGAGATACTATCAGGATATGGTTTGTCTTCATTGTCTTTTGAATGGACTTGCATTTCCCATAAGGATCAGTTTCAGGTTTTCAAGATATTATTTAAGGCCTCATCTTTCATGGGTGGACCAGCCTATTTTAACCTGAATAACGATAACTTAGTACAGTCATAAGAACTTATGAAGGACCCAGCTGGATGAGACCAAAAGCCTGAGTAATAATTCCACAACTATTGACCAGTTACCTGTAGGAAGCCCTAAAGCAGGGCCTGACTGAGGCAGTCGCATCTCCTTGTATGCCCTGTTCATGGTATTCAGAATGAAATGGTCTGTGATTCTGGAAGATAATCTATCCCTGTCATGACTTACAGCTGTTGTTTGGCTGATCCTTGTTCATAAATTTGATTGATCCCCTTTTACAATTGTCCAAGTTAGCAGCCATTACCACATGTTGTGGTAGCAAATTCCATAGTTTAAACAGGTCCTGTATAAAATTGCATTTCATTTTATCTGTTCTTGAATAGTTTCACCACCACTAGATTTTTCTACACGGCAGTTTTCTGCAGCTCTTGACATTTTCTCACTTACCTAGTGCTTTTCTAGAACCAGATATGCTCCATCCAGATATTCCTTACAGAGAATCACTCTAACTCTGCCTAGAATGTGTAGATTCTAACTCCCTGAATTAACCAGCCAACATGATTATTGCTGAAAATTCTGGGAGTTCATATATTGGCAGGGCATTCAGGGGAAGGATGTTCTAGTCCTTTGGTAATTTTGGTTGATGTTTTGTGCACTTTTTCTAGTTCTTTAATTTCTTTTTTTGGGATGCATTGACCAGAACTGTAAATAATATTCCACATGTGGTTACAAAATAATATCCATACAAAATCCAGCAGTATAAAACTCAAAGTTTTATATTGTGAAGTCAACTAATATAGCACCTGTGTGTAGCTGTGTCTTTTCTTGGAATTGCTCAACTGCCCTCCACAGCTGCTATGCATGTTTGGTTTAAAGTACTAATGACAAGTGTTATATGCGTGCCCTACATACTGAGAAGCATTGTTTTGCCTTCAAATCCAAAGTGTTACATAGTCCTTTTTTAAAATCACAAACTGAACCCTTTTAGGATCAGTCATAGTTAACTCTGAGCCCATCAGTGTATCCCTTCTGATGTTGGGATGTTTTGCGCTAATGTGCAACATTCACACTTAATTAGCAAGCCATATCTGCTATTTTAATATCCAGTTTCTCAGTTTGAAGGGATCCCTTTGAACACTGTCCTTTTTGATTCCTGCTAATAAGTAGGGTGGTTACTTCGTGGTTGCCTTTTTAATTCTGGATTATTTATGAGTAAATAAGCTTAATACAGATCTTTGGAAACCTGTACTGTTTTCTTCCTTCTAAGAAATTACATTTATACTAGCCTTCCCCTATCTAATATCATTTAGTTGTGGTGGGACTGAAACTCCAAGAAGTCTCAGCCAGATGCTTTCCATATTAACTGGAAGTTATGGAAAGTGCAGTTGAAATACATCTTTTGAAAAACTATATAAACCATGCCTTCTGGTTGATCTCTATCCATGTGCCACTGTCCAACAGGATTTACCTTAACAGAGGGATATTGAATTTCCTAGTGTTACTTGGTCTTCTCTAGCCAAGTAGAGAAGCCAAGCCATTGGACTTCACAATGTGAATACTGATGGGAGTGAGTTGTAGTATATGAGCATGTGGAAAGTAACAATTCAATCTTTGTCCTATGTTGTTGACCTTGGCTGATTTCTGAAAAGCTAAGCAGGGTTGGATCTGGTTAGAGGTTCAGTGGGAGATCACCCCACTTGTAAACTAGACAAGGAAGTTGAGAAAAATTCAAAGAACAGGAATGGAAAATCAATTCCATATTATTGCCAAATAAAGTATATGCATATGTCCATGTAGTCACCAGGAACTGTGCTCAGCTAGGAAGGAAACATTACTTGCTATCCTGGATATTCACAGAATCCATTTTTAAAAATGGACTTTACATTGACCATTTGCTAGTCCTTTCATATAGTGGCCAACTATAGAAATATGTCACATATTTTTATTGGAAGATTAACAGTTTCTCATTTGATTTCTTTTAAATGCCATCTGGCAATATCCCTGCTTTAGAACTCTTGATCTTTGTGGAATCCTAGAAAAAACAAAGCCATGAGATGGAATCCAAATTATGTCTAAAGATCAATTTCTTTAATTGTAGCCATTCTATATGGTGTCTTTTAAATAATAAGATATTATAATTATTTAAAGAGACAAGGAAGAACATGAAAGGACTTTCTCTTGGTCTAGTTTCTCCTGCTGATCCCTACCTACCCTTGGATCTTGATGGGTCAGGAGGGTTCTAGACAGTTGGAAGGAGGCATGCCTTGGGAACTTGAAACCACTTACTCTCATACCAATACTGCATTGGATTGCATCCCGGCTCTCTTTCTAACACTGGTCTTTATCCACTTTTTCCATCGCTCCCTCTTGCCAGGAATTCTTTGAGGGATAGTTTAATTTTTAGAAATCCGCTTTTAAAAAATACAGAGGAGGGAATGCTATGTGTGCAGGTTGGAGCTCTAAACCAAAGGTGGGATATAAATCTAACAAACAAAGAGGTTTGTTTCCTGACAGGTCCATTTTCTGATGACTGGAATGATGCCTCACAGTAAATCTGATCACCATTTAACAGTATTGTTTTTGTGTTGATTTTTAAGGTGTTAAATCAGTGGACTACTTATTCATTGTGGCGGATACAGAAACCACTCTACAAGCTTGATCTAGAGTGGCCAAAGTTTCCAGAATTTATTGGTCAACCATATTGTGTTGCTGTTGATCATATCCAGGGATTAGTCTATGTGGGACAGGTGAGAAACAATAAAATCAAAATGTTTATGGAGTAACAACAGTTACACAGGATGCAGTTATTATATTAAGGAGGTAAATAATAAAAGTGTTGTAATCCTGCATGGTTCTGCTGTTGCTACTTGAAGTTTCAAGTTATATCACTTTTTTTTTCCAGAAAAATGCATTTCAAAAATTCTAATTAAATGCAGATTTTATCGCTTGACCATAAATCATTTTTGTTCATTCACACATTTTGGTTTAGTTTACCATCTTCAAAGCTTACACATTGTTTTTTTTATCTTGATTTGGCTTAGTAATGATATTGTTCTAAATTGGTTGATGAATTATTTATTTATTAAATTTCTAGGCTGCTCGACTCCAAAATGACCCTGGGCAGTTTCATAAAGTTAAAAAAAACATTACATAAACAACAACAACATACATGCCTTTTTCTTATAGTTCTTCCAAATCACATAAAAAACCTGTGTATCTTGAATTTAGCAGTTCAACAGCAGGATTTTATACAGAGGATTTTATGCCATCTGAGATTAGGACTTTATTGTCTAAAAATATTCTCTTTATTCTTCCAATTCTAAGTAGAGCTCTTTATTTGGCTTCTGGTATCTCTGGTTACTTATTACAATATCCAAAATTATTCCCAGCCTTGTTAATATCAAACCTATTTAAATAATTTCACTTTATTATTTAGTATCTACCAAAAGATGGAGATAATTTCAAGTAAAAGCTAGATTTTATGTTTCCAGAAATGTGATTTAAGCTACTGAGTTTTTATTTGGGCAGCTCTATTTCAGATTGCATCCAGACTCTCCTATTTCAGTATCTGATAGCACTTTGCCCAAATCTGTGGAGCTTTCTCACAGTTTTCATTTGAAATCTGTGGTCTGATTTGCACAACATATTGTGACTTGACTTAGTATACTGCCTGAACCCAGACCATAGGACAGGTTGCTCGTGATCTGAAACCATAACTTGGTTTTATTAATTTATGGACCATCAGTCATGGTCCAACCTGTCATCTGAAGCATATACTAGCACAGTGTTTCTCAACCTTGGTAGCTTGAGGATGTGTGGACTTCAACTCCCGGAATTCTCCAGCTAGCCATGCTGGCTGGGGAATTCTGGGAGCTGAAGTTCACACATCCTCAAGTTGCCAAGGTTGAGAAACACTGTACTAGCATATAGAGCAGACTTTGGTCCTCTAAGAAAATGGTGCAGGGTAGCAGGAACAAATTGGAGCTAACCCTACAGAAATGAGGGGTGAATTAGGGGCACAAAGGAGTTGATGAGGTGTCCCTCCCTCATTATATATATATCCTGTGCCGCTAGCCCCAGTTGGATTAGTATGGATTAGTAAGCGGGCATGAATATAAATCAGGAGGCTGGTCATTCAGCCACTATAAAAGATGCAGAATTTTCGACTGAAGACTGGGAAACCACGGTATGCCATATTGGCTTGTGTACATGTTCACTGACTAAATACCTTACTATGATCAACAGTCTTTAGCATGTTGCGTGAACATATCTGTAACTAATGTAGATTCCATTTCTTCAACACCAGTTACTTTTGTTGTTGTTGCTTGGAATTTTCACAGCTTGCACTTTGAGGTAATCTGAAAAAGCACCCCAAAATGGATCTGATTTTTATTTATTTAATATAGCCACCCATTTCACTCACGTGTGACTCTTTATACATTTTGCATAACTGAATGTGCTGTTTTAAAGTTTATTGTGCTTAAAAGTCTAACTGTAGAATAGTGAACCAGCTGCTGTACTGTTTGCTCAGCTCTCAAGCCTTCTTTTGGCTATCCTTTGCTGAGTACAACAGGGTTACTGAAAGAAGCCATCAAGTTTTAATTAAATAACATTGACAAGTTGCTCAGATAACTTCTATAACTCTTTCCAGCATAGGAAGGCTGTGATTAAGTAAAATGTTTTTTTTCCCCCTTTGGATAGCATTTGTCATGGCTTCCCTTTTGGCCAGCTTTTCAGGGAAGACAGACAGTATAGGACATCTGTCCTCTGCACCAGTTGAGCCAGGTCCTAAGCCAGAATCCATGTCCATTAGTCTAGAACTTTCTGCCCAGGACTCTGATCAAGACATAGTAATGCAGCCAAGTTGGTGGCAGCGCTGAGTTGAATATCGGAAGATGAGAAATAGAGTTGTGCATGCTTCAGAACTGATTCAGAAAAGTGGTTTGGAGCTTGTATAACCCCAACATTTTCTGTTGTTCATTAAAGCAGCCCCTCTTTTTCAAGCTTCCATGTGATTCTGAAAAAATGCTTGCCTAGGACCCAGCTCGTAATGCAACTCTTAAAGCAGCCACAGCTCTTCTGAAACTCATGTGGAAATGTAGAAAAATGAGTACACACAGCCCTAAACAGAGAGATGCTAAAGTACTTGCTTGTGTGGAACTGTGATTTGAGAATGAACATCCACTCAGGCAACTCTGTTGCTTACCATGCCTGAATGACCTTGCAGGCAGATCAGAGTTAATCAGCACCAGGTGAGTTAAGGTGGTCTAGATGGTCTTGTAGCCAGATCAGGATTAATGAGCATCAGTTGGATATGGGTGGGATTGCTGGAATCACTAGTACAAAACTTTCTGTTTTTGAAGAGCTTATTGTTGGAAGCACTGACTACTGTCTGTGAGGCTGATTACTTTTGTGCTTTGAATAAAAGCTGAAGCTGCATGTATTCTGCTTACCCATAGCTTTGACTTAAATAAAGTCAAATATTGATATAAAAACAATTGGTTAAATGAAAGTAGGTAAAGAACTATAACTGAGTCAAGATCTTTACATTTAGTCCAGATTTGGATAGTAGATTGGTACAATGGGGAACTAACATATCCTCTGGGTTTGGAATGGCAGGAAAGCTTTCTTTTTTAGATAAGCATGCCCAGGTTGCATGAAACATGCAGTGGTGTTTGTTAAATGAGTTCATCTTTCTTTCATATGCCAAGATGGTACTTCAGTGTATGAGCTATTCCCAATAGCATTCCTAGATAAGAAAGAATAATAATAGATGGTTCTTATCTGTGATATAATCATCCAGGTAAGGCTCTGATAAGTTAGTGGGCATAACATGGAACAGCATAGAATTGGGGTATATGAATAGCCGCTTTCAGACTGGATGCCATTCAGTACCATTGATCCATCTTGACTATATGTCATTCCTACTTGATCTCTATATGTATAGAAATATTCATCTTACTGTCTGTAACCAAGAACATGAGCACTAAATGTTACAGTACTTTCCAAAATAAAAATTTTAAATGCAACTTTGATACTTTGTTGGACTCAAAAATAGTGAGTGTACAGAGTGCAACATGTTCAGGCTAAGTTTTGGAGTTGGTTTAGGAAGCTCTGTACTAAGGACCCCAAATAGGTAGGGCTGCATTAAAATGCTCTTCCACAATAACTGACTGAACTGGATCTTGTCAAGTCCTCATTGAATGGACCGTGATTGTTCTATGTTGTCTTTGCCCTCTGGGAACACAATCAGATTGGTTTGGCTTTGATTTTAAGACCCACTTAGTGATCGCCTCTGGCTGCAAATTAGGAATTAGATATAATTTAGACTTTAGGAATTAGATATAATATAGCAGTGCTTTTGCCATTCCAGTCTCTTTATTGGGAAAGGATAGCCTCAAGTAGTCCATCTTAATGTCTTCTTTTCTTATGTAAATCTGCCAATAAGTACATTGCAGATCTGGTGTGCTCATTCTTTTCAAGCTGCAATGGCTAAAAACATTTAAAATGTGAGAGAGGCATTATATAATAGCATTTAAAGACCAGAAGCCTAAAGCTCTTTAAAACCTGAAATGTGTAATTTCGGAATTCTAAAATTGACCTGAATTCCCACTGTTGTAATTATAATCTTTAATAAAATTACTGTAAAAAAAATAAAATTGACCTGAATTCTCAAACTACTGAAAGACCGCCAGGGTGAGACAGATTGATGTAAAGAAAATTGAAGACCAGACAACTCTACTTCTGGGTCCCTGATGAATTGCTGGAAAACGTGATCTGTTTCCCAGCTGTAGCTTTAACATATTTATACCAACGTGGCAGAAGCAATAGAGGCTCCCTTTCTTCAAAGAGGAGTTCTGCTTCAGGAAATACTTTGTGAATGTCAGCCAAAGACATAGCCAGAGCTGCCTTTTTGAAAACAGTTGAGGAAATTGCAGCTAGTACAACAGTTTTAACAAAATCCAGCATTATATATGTACTATGCTGATATTTTAGGATTCCTGGTGAATTTCTTGGTGCAGTTAAAAATTACTGGCTGTGATCTTTACTGGCTTAGGGGCTTTGTACTTGAAAGATTCCCCTCACATCTATGCAGTTTATTTTTATTTATTTTTATTTTATTTATTTTCAAATTTGTATGCCACCCATCTCCCCCAATGGGTGACTCTGGGGGGCTCACAATAATAAAAAAGAAGAAAAAAAACAGGACTCTCCAGACATGGACATAATCTATAAATAGTTAAAAAACATATATTAAAAATGGGCTAAAAATCTCCTATAATTTGGCCCCCAAAAACCTGTAAGATGCTGGGGGGGGACAAACCCTCACCCCACCAGCCATCTCCACAGGTGCGGGCCCCCCTCTGGCCCCCAGGCCTTCTCTCTGGCCCCCAGG